AAATAAGTGTATTATCCAGAGGATAACTGTTTTCTCAGTTTTACAGACAAGTACTTGTTGCGAACACTGTTGCATTAGTATGTAGCTCATGAATGGGATTAGCACTCTCGTTTATCTTAAACAGAGCCCCTTAATTCAATGAATGTATTTCCACACATCAAACTGCTTCAAATGAAATTCCTTCTGTGATGTGATTTATGCATCACAACCTGATAATGCTGAAATTCATCTGAAACACTATATTCATTCATTTCAATAGACCACTTTTTCATGCGAACAAATCTAGCAACACTTTTATTGGGTGTCCATTGGTTGCATGGTGTAGATTACTAATTTATGATCGGTTCATTACGATTATAAATTTATATCGTAACAGATATTGGGTTTGTCTTATGCGTTTGAAAATTAGGTTTAGGTTGGTTGCACGTGTTCGCTTCAGATGGAAATCACACAGATGTTACTTCTTTGTACATAAATTGCTTCTTCGATACATACATCATAAATATAAATGATCGTTTCCGATCATGGAATAACTGGTGGGAGGTGGATGACATAAGGTAAGATAAAAAGTCCTCTAAATGGATCACCGTTTTAATTCTAGTCTTAAATAATCAAAGAGCTAACGTATATCATGCACCGGGAAAATATTGGCAGATCTATCTGATTTTCTAAAAATATCCTATTCCTGTGTTCTTTCTACTTGAATGCTTATAGTTGAAAAATTAAGAGATTTTCCGTACATCCCTAATGTGAAAGACTGAAATTAATCATAAGTCACTAAATTATCTAGACACGTTTTCTCTTTGAACCACAGTAAACGATAAGCACTGCGGCCTGCTTAAGTCTCAGGTCTACCTCAGTGTATGAAGTTCTCACTATTTCTCCTTGTTTTAACCATTCATTTATGTACGTAGATCGCTAAATTTAATGATGCGCCTTTTTAATTAGCTCTCTACCAACTGCCGCATATTTCTCAGAGACAAGACAAAAATGCTATAAGGGATTATATTATCCTTCAGATCAAACATCATGGCGTCAGGTGAGGTACTGTAAATTGTTATTTTACTTTAAGATCCTAGATAACAAGAAATACTACACAATAAAATACGCTGGAGATTCTACACATTATGTAAGGTCTTTGTGCAGAATAAACCTGTTATCACTATTTTTATTGAGTAAAAGAAGCAGTTTTATTGTTATTATTATCCCATTTATGCTCCGAGTGCAACAGGGGGCTTCAACAGTGCGCCTTGACTTTAACGTAAAGGAATAAAAAAACTTAGTCATTCAAAACTGCACCTAACTCACACATAGGTGAAAAATCTCCTCATGATTTCAGACTAAACCGTGAGTCTTAAATATATTCCATAAACTTGTGTTTTACTAATTATAAGTGTTGTTTCACTAAACTCAACAATATTTGCATTATTAACAAAATGAGAAATACCTTTCACATATCTTTTTTCTCAACATCTTCACTGTCATCAACAGTTACTAAATTATTCATAAAATGAAGTAGCATGATGAATTATGAAAACTGCTTTACTCTTTGGGTATAATGGCTTGAAGTAATCATTAGGGATGATTTGTCTAAAACATATTATGAATGGTAGTAGTCTTTGTGAATAAAGTTGTTATTCCACTATCACTACAGTTACTGTGCTACGTATGTTATGAATAATACTTCGACAGATGACACAACAAATACCTTTTTTCTCTACAAAAATTATAATAATAATAATAAAGCAAAAACAGATTAGCACATTATCACTTTCAATTTGATCTTAATTTTCATATTTCAATGATACATGAAATGACAACAAAAATATAAAATATACGACAAGAAACAACACAACAAAGAGTATACTGACAAATGAAGTGACAAAGAGAAGTGAATAGTATTGAGTAATGTACAATTTGACATGAAGTGACACACATTCACTAGTGAACAACAGTTACCGACAACAGTGAATGATAGAATTTTTTTAACAAACTCTAATGACTGTAAATGTAAAAACATACAATAATAATATATGCATACATATTAGGGAACAATAGGTAGTGTGAGTAAGTGAATAAGAGATTAGGAGAGATACAGGAATAGAAAAAGGCCTGTATATATGTGTGTGTGTTTGTATATATGAGCAAACAAAGAGGTCATAGTCCAGTAGGATGATTTGTATATATTCAATAAAATGGAGGAGAACTATTTTTTAGCGATGTACTTCGATCTAAACGATTGGGAGGTTTCTTTGTTAACTCTGCCTCTGTATTGAGATAAAACATTAAATGACAACATTAGACGTCAACACACAACACAACATTATACAATAAATAGTAACAGTAATCAAAACAACTACTAAAACATATAGAACAACATAAATCTAACAATGTAATAACAACAACGACAACAATAACAGGAAAAGCATAACTCATAACTCAGGAAATAGACAACATATATATTTATGTATTTACGTATTTAAAAACTCAGCTTTTCATAACGAATCGAAATGATTTTGATTAATAGATGTGTTAAGTCCGCTTGTACACCAAATACTTTATAACTTATTAGTGTAGTTGATTCACACAAAGATGACATTCTGTAAAAGATATGCGTAAAAATGTCATATGATATCGACGCCTGAGGCTATTATCCCGGCTTAGTTTCCAAGACCCACAGTCTTATCAAACTAAGAAATAATAGTTTGGTGAATACGTTTTGAATAATTATGTCAGATAAATGTCTGAAAAATATTTTTTTTGTCCTATACACAGTTATGCTCAATGATTTGAAGTAACTCAGTCGTAGCTATAATTTATGCAATCGTTACTTAGAACTGCTAGAGGCCACTAAGCAAAAAAACAACTTCAAACTTAAAAATAATCCTATAAAATACTCAAACACCCACAGGTCTAACATAGATTATTTCTTAAAACAGTCATATAAATTGTGAACAGCAGTTTAGGAAATATTAACTTCATTGCAGATAGCTCTATTATTTATACCAAGAGAATTATATTCAAATGTTTTCCGAAAATTATTTTAAATTAAAATGACGTTTGAAAAACAGTTGGTTAAACGTCATAGAACCAGCTATAGTTAATTATTATTCACTCGACTACATTTTTTTAAATCTTATCCAGTAGACATGAAGACACACTTGGATAATGTACAGTTTCACCTGTATTATTCAACTATCATCCATGCATGGATAGTGGGACAAAAGAGCTAAGCTTGCTTTCACTTTGAATAAACTTGCGTCCAATGTCAACGAAGAAAGTCTCACTTCATGTATTAATTATCATTGAGATGTACTGCTAATTAACAATCTAATTTCTTATAAATTTATTTACAGAATATATTGGTATGTGTTAGGCAATACTCAAATTATCGCAGCTTTCGCCCAATTGGTTACAAAACGAGTCTAGCCAAAACGGTCTTTAGCAGAGCTAGGGCGTTATGTTGAGAAAATAAGACTGAAGAGGAACTCACGATTACTGAAAAGAACCTTATGGAGAATGGATATCCCTAAAATTTCATACCAAAATGTGGACATAAAAAATCACCTAGACTGAAGCCCAAAACAGTTGAAAAGAAACCATTTTTTATCTGTCTAGCGTACTTAGGAGAAGAAGTGTCTACAAGAGTCGGTTAAAGAATCAGAGGGGCATTGAAGGAAACATTTTCTGCTGCCAAACTGATTCTGTTTTACAGCACCGTATGCTCGTTAATTCAGTTTCGTGCTCGTGTTAACTTCAGCTGCATTTATCAGTTTGCTTGCACTTACGAGAGGAAGTAAATGCAAGGACTGAGAGGACAGCATATGCTAGATTTTCTGAGCAGATCCCTAGAAGCCTCTGGACAAAAAGGTAGCTAAGTGTTCTCAAGTACAACTGCTAAACGCCTAATTGACATGGGACATATTGTGGAGATTAACCAAGCTTTCAAAATAATCAGTATACAAAGAAAACCCCATTACTTCGTCTCTGAGACGCCACTGCTATCAATAGACTTCAGCTCAACCTCTATATAAAGAAAGACAGAGTGATAATTCTCTCACTACTCTGGTAACAGTTATTGTTTTGTCCATGTGTTTTTGTGTTTGGTTCTGTTGCGTAAAATTCCCCTTAATTTTATATTTCACTTACTGACTTTAACTCACTAGTAAGTTTCCAAATTTACTTAATCATTATTCTGTAATAATTTAAATTTAATATTTATCCCCAGCCTCTTGAACTCTAGATTGTAATATGCATAAATTCACTCTGTCGTTCGATCTTGTATCCTCTCTTCAATCTATTTCTAATCTAAACCTTAACCGTGACCCTCTTGTCCCACTATACTATTAGTGCTTATCTTTTAAACACAAATCACTTTGGATTTGTGTTATTTGTACTTTTTAACCATAACCCGACTTCATTGTGAGGAAATTATGTTCGAAAAATTTTGTAACCCATATTTCGATATTGTTTAGGATGTATGCAGTTGCAAAAAAAAAACCAAGAAATAAAACGTATTCGTATTATTCTGCAAATATGTGCTTTCTTTCTTTGTTCAAACGAATTCAGGGAACCAGATGTATGAAAGACTAACAAAGTGTTTTTACGAGAGTAGACCATTTTCTTCTGATGATTTCAAAGATTATCACCTCATAATCTTGACACTTTTTGACCAGCATCTAAAACCGTTTTTCAGTCTAATCAGGTCAACGTATTTCTTCTGCTTGCATACATTTGTTTACTTTGAGAAAAATATTTAAAAAAAATAAAATAAGAAGTGGAAGAGCATAGAAGGACATCAATTAATTTCATGATTTTGTTGAATGTATTTACCGCTCAACCAACTTCTTAAATGAGTGTTATTTTGTTAAATATAAAATGTGTCAATTCAATTTTACAAATGAAGATAGTAGTTACCAAGTTGTGTGTGTGTGTGTGGGTGAGTGTTTAATTAAAAAATGACTGCAAACAAGTTGTTAGTGGTTAGTACATCTACTTACTTGTCTGAGATGTGTCAGGATTAGTTGATTTTGGTTTAAGATTTGTTTTTGCATTTGTCAGACCAGTTGTCGCCAAAGCTGTGGATTGACTTTTACTAGCTGCACAACGTAGTAAATGGTATACAGGATCAATTTCACCTAAACAAATATAACAGACAATGAAAGACTATTTTTATTTTCTAAAAGGCAGAAAATGAAACAGAAGTTTTAAGTAAATGTAAAATATTAAGTCAGCTTTAGATTTGATTTATAATCAGTTTATAATTTGACACAAAGTAAATTTTCTCGAATGCATCTAGTACACGTTCGATCCAAATGTTTTATTAAAAGGCTAATATGTAGAAGTTGACTGATGAAAACGATTTGTAAATCGAAAAGTATACCAAGGTCATGAGCAGAATTTATTACATTCAATAAAACATCTCGTGATCTAACAGAAAAACTTTCTATGATATTGGACAGTGAAAGAAAATTATTAATCTTAGCTAATTATCATACGAATTTTTTTCCTATAACTGCATAGCGAAACAAGCTTAAGGTTACACGATATTAAGGTGCTTTCGCTTAAAAGAATACAACATTACAACTGAAGAAAATTGATATAAACGACAGTAGAAAATGAGGCAAAGCACATGATAGTGAACTGATTTTTGTGCATTGTATCATACATCGCTTACATGTAAATGAATTAAGGGTTTATACTATTGGCACACTTATGAGTGAAATAGATTCTTAATATATAAAAATAAGTAAAAAGAAGTCAAAGTGGAAAAGATATTTCCAGGATCACACTATACAGTGCAATGCAATATTATGCGAGTAAGGGCATATACATCTATCTATGCGTCAAGTGCAGTATGTATAAGGCGTGTTAAATCATGCACGAAAACTCCAAAACCAAGCATACAGCTCTAGATTGTTTCTTAAAACTTCATTATGAACACAATAATCTCAATAGTATGAGACTAGATTTATTCTCTTTTGTGAGTTATACTAATTAGTGGTTTACTTTCTGTTATCAAGACAATTAGCTGGATGAACTGTGGTCTCTGTTTGATGAAAAGCTTGATTCTAGTTGTTTTTTCTGTTACAATTTTATTTATAGTACTCCTTATTGATCCACTGTAACTCTTCTGTAGCCAAGCGGGGTAATGTTCCTTAGCTCTTTCAGATAAAACTATCATTGGACAACCTATATATCTTGTTCCACAGAAGCTAATGAAGTGGTAGATATACATGGAAGTGGATACATTCTATAGATTATTTTTTTAGAGTTATTGGAGAACATTATAAAAAAGGATAATCATATCATATGATTATAAGCAATAAATTGTGCTCGAAACGTCATCAGTAAATATTACTGTATAACACTGTGAGACTCTATAAAAATAAAATTTACCCATAATGGAATTACACTCTACCACAGTGCCCAAGTTTTATTCTTATATCAATGACAACTTGCAGTAACCACTAAACCCACGTCTTCCATTTTCTGATTCCCGTATTGACCTGAATTATATCATGTGCAGATTTGCACTTTATTTTGAAATTATAGCCCATAAGAGTAACCGATCATCCGTACAGACGATTCTGTGTGTACACCCGGATTCATTTTTTAGGACCAAAGGTTGACAGTAGATGCTTTTGATAAGATAGCAGCTTGCAGCTGCCACCAAGAAACATGTTATGAACATTTATGAAAGCTTCAACCAAAGCAAGATAGCGTGTGAATACTGACTGAGAAATTCAGTGAAAACAGTTCCTAACCTTACTTCAGTTGGGATAAATGCTGATCATCAAAACAAGTGGACTCAATAAATGATGCTGTGAAACTGGTTGCAACTTTTATAAATAGTATAGGATAGAACTGAGCAGGTTACTAAAATAGTAAGGAATACTTATGTTACCGAAGTGAATGATTTTTTGTTCCATTCCAGTTGAATTGATTGTTATAGTAAACCACAGAATTTAAACTTTACGAACAAAATATGGTTTTGAGTAGGTCAAGTACAGTTTTACTCTTCACTCTGCTTTCAGACGGTTATCTTAAGACACAGTTGAAAGCTTTAATATAAAGGATTTCCTGCATCGCATATATTTTACCGAAGTTTAATTAGGTTATATAAACCGGAAGATCATACCTCTAAGTTGTAAATAAGGTCAGATAAAAATATACTAATTAATTTCAGTTATTTAGAAAGTGTCAGTAAGTCGGATTATTTATTATGAATACATCAAATTATTTTACCCCGTTTAATTTGAGAAGTGAGTGATGTCGGAAAGAATTTTCAATGAAATGTTCAGCACAAACACGTGTATTTTTCTGATCCCTTTGAACTATGAATGTGAACAATTTAACTACAACTAGCTATTATTACTGCTAATAACAACTTCATATGCTTTAAGTTCATGGTTATATTTTTATCCCATGATGCGTTACTAGTTCAAAAAACCTTTGGAAGTGACTTCTTAAAAGAAAACAGCTGATTTGACCAACAAAATATTACATGCGATTTTAATAGATAGTACTAGTTCAATGTTCAAATTTTACAATAAATCCTAAAGCTTAATTTAGTTTTATTGTAACCAAACAGTTTATTTATCTCTTAGTAAATCTTGAGTTAATTAGACTGTGAATAATAATCTCTCTTTTCGAGCACATGTGTAAACTGTCTCAGCCGAGGAAACAAGCACCCAAGATTTCATTGTCAGTCATTATCAAACGAATATAAAGAGAAAATGTTGATTTCACTAGACACTACTAAATATTTAATTCAATTTTATATTTTTCCGTCGATTGATTGGACCAAAGTGCTTGGTCTCCGGTTGACATGTCGGCTTCTTGTGCAGATGCTTCGATGATGTCTGGGCATGTAATTATAAGTTGACTGGTGGATGGTGACTAGCAGTGGAATCCAGGATGCGCGTTTCGTCCTGTTTGGGACTGATCAGTTGGATGTACCTGCATTCCGCAGGGAGTGATGGGCACTGGTTTCAAGCCTCGGTGTGAACATCATCACTCATTGCGGAATGCAGTTACGCGCATCCTGGATTCCACTGTTAGTCACCATCCACCAATCAACCACTAAATATTGGTTAAATGTTAGCCAAACGCATCCACACAACAGTACCCCTATTTTACGTATCGTTAACTGCAAACCACACATCATTTCAGCACGTCTTTAAAATGTGGAGATTGATCTGTGTAGGCAGCAGTTTCTTTGACGCAAATACAAGAACATTTAGTAAAAGTCGGAATGTATCGTCGCCTAGATTACTAGGTCACTAGTATTCTAGCCGGTCCCAAGCTCGGATAAAGAGGGAGGGTTGGGGCATGGTGCTAGCAACTCCACCCCCAAAACTTAACCAAATTGCTACTAAAACTTCAACGCACAAATATATTCAAGTAATTGATCAAATGAAATCAACCGATGGTCATTGAATAGAAAACTTTGTTTAGATATTTTTAATTGTACAGGACTATGTAAGGTACGCCAGCCAGTAGTGATCTTTGCTATTGTGAAAAGTGTGATTTCAGAGGCAAAAACAGTTGTATATATTTATAATAATAACAGCTTTGTTCTACGAAATGTGTTTAAACACAATTCAGAACTTTCAACCAGTTTCATTGCTAGGTATTCACTCCTTGCACAGAATCTTCAAATAATATAATAGTCAATAATATATCGGTTAAAGCAATATTAATTCATCCTAAGCATACTCCAGTATCCCTCCACAGTATTCCTCCTTCGAGAAATTATTTGAAATTTTGCACGATTATAGATTATGACTTGTTGTGGTAATTAGATGACTTAAATAGTATGAAACGGAGTAACTACGATGCATTTTGATGAATGGAAAATGTAGGTAGTCCAGTGATTTCAGCGGGCGATCAGAAAGAAATTAAAGGTAATTAGAAGTGAAATGAAAATCTTGTTTGTAACTGGATTGAAACCAACGGTTTCCGTCTTACTAGCACAAAATACTACCAAGTTTACTGCTAGAAACAGCCGTTCATAAGCGATTAAATCAATGTCGATTTTGACTTTCTAAGACTACCATAGACACTCACCATAAATGTACCTGATAATTTATACGGATTTATTCTAAAATGAGTAAGTGTTAACTATAAATCATTAAACAACATCACAAAGTCGTGGACGAACGTGAAGTGATTAATGTTCCATCTCTATGTACTTCTAAAAGGCAAATATATACTGTTTTATCGTATACTATATATTTTATATACTTATTCAAAAGACAAACAAACTACTGGAGTTGATCAATAACAATCTTTTCGATTGTGAAGGTTTATAGATGAATGACCTTTATGCTATATCCCTTAGAAGTATGTGTTTTGTAATTTTGAAAATATTCTGACTTCACTCTACGTAGACCAACTGCTTCATATATATGTATACATATATATATATATATATACATATAATTTCAAGCTTGGGCACGAATTGATATAAGTTAGAGAAACACTGAAAACCATGAAGTTGCATGGGGTTCTAGAGAGAAGTCACGGCCAGTAGGTTTCACCAGGTCGGGCAAGAGGACATATACTCGCCGACAATACCAGCTTACCTTTTAACCGGACGATCCTTGTTTCGAGCCCCAGTGGGTGCATACTAATGAAGAGCCCTGAACTGTGAAAAACAGCTGTTCAGTACTCCTGCCTGGTTTTCAATGGTTCTCTAAATGATATCGATCCGTTGCCAAACTTGAAACAAATCAAGTCCCTACAAACTAGCTCTTGAAAATATATATGTAGTTATTCATTTCTAGATTTCTGCTGATGATGAAATCCTTGTTCGATACTGACATTCATATCAAAATACCGTCACTTTTACTACTTAGTTATAGTGTAACAGTTTTAAAGAAGGGTATAAAGTTACATCAAAGAAAATATTATTCTTTGAACTTTATTTACCCTTATTGTTTCAAAAGAACTATTAAGGTGTTTTTCTTTAAAGAAATGATAACTGGTAACCATTAATTAGACATAAATATTGTTCAATTAGATGCATGTGATTGGAAACAGAGTTGAAAAGAGTCACATGAAAGTTATGTTATAATGTTTGCTTCCTTCTTGGCACACTTATTATGCTTATTTAACCTATCCTTAAAAAACA